TATTTCTGATAGTATGCTATATTTCTGATAGTATGCTATATTTCTGATAGTATGCTATATTTCTGATAGTATGCTATATTTCTGATATTATGCTATATTTCTGATAGTCCGAGAAATAATTATTTATTTTCTGTGCCAATATTGGTCGATTTGGGAATTTGAATTTGAGGCTTGTATGAATTTAGATTTTAAAGTTGTCTTTCATCAACCAAGCATTTCTAGAAACTTTTAAAAAGTCCTGAATAATGGAACTGTTAGTTGTGGAGATACGAATGTAGCCTGTGCTGTTTACGGACCTGGAGAAGTTAAACCCAACAGGAACCAAACTCATATTTGACAAAAAAAAAACCTCAACATTATTTCATTCCTTTGGAAAAAGGGCATTTTTTCTCGGCGTACTTCAGTTCCTAACATTGATCCTTTTTATGTTTAAAGTGTATTTACGCTCTTGATAATGATTTTGAGATTTTGCTTTAAATTCAAGTTTGGTTTGAATTAGAGAGATAATTGACAGATCAAGCGTGGAGGTTGTTTATAGATCCAAGGTTGGAACTACAGGAGTACAAGATAAGAAGAGGTGGAGTTATACTAATCTAGATAATATTGATGTTGCCCGTTTGCTTGCATTGCACACACTTCAAATATCCTTCTTTATTTTGTCGACTCGCTGTGCTGTGGACTTGACTTGTTTTTACTTTTTTTTGGGTAGGCATTTCAATTCAGACTCTTGTACAAAATATGAAGTCAGGAAACCGGAAATAATAACAATAAATCTGTTAACATGTCATTGGTGTTAATAACTATTTATAACCCTACTGGTTGAAGGGAGGAGAGGTATAAAGTATTTTCCCCAAAAATTTTTCTTTTTCAAGAGGGTTCAAGACTTTTTTGATGAGATTTTTAACCAGAGCGAACCCTCTCGATAAATAAAAGTCTTCAACCAGTAGGGTTTTAAATAGTTTCATGCCCTGGAAAATATTAGGAAATATGAATTTATATGTTAACACTAGATTAAAAAGAGGTCACTCAGGGCATAAGAGTTCATAAACAACTGAACCTAGTTTGTAGTTTTGAGTATATGAAAATATACACCCCCGTAATATGGTGGTTTTTTTAATGGACCTTAACCTTAATATCCTCCAAAAGCTTATTGATTGGTTGTTTTAGTATCATTATCATCATTAGAATTATTACTATCCTAGAGAACTGTTCCTGGAGAGAACTTGTCAATCCTGTATCCTTGTCATTCATTGGTTGTTTTAGTATCATTATCATCATTCGAATTATTACTATCCTAGAGAATTGTTCCTGTAGAGAACTTGTCAATCCTGTATCCTTGTCAATCATTGGTTGTTTTAGTATCATTATCATAATTAGAATTATTACTGTCCTAGAGAACTGTTCCTGGAGAGAACTTGTCAATCGTGTATTGTCACTTATAGGTTGTTTTAGCATCATTATCATCATTAGAATTATTACTATCCTAGAGAACTGTTCCTGGAGAGAACTTGTCAATCTTGTATTCTTGTCACTCATTGGTTGTTTTAGTATCATTATCATCATTAGAATTATTACTATCCTAGAGAACTGTTCCTGGAGAGAACTTGTCAATCCTGTATATTATTGTCAAAATTCTTCAAAATTCAAAATATTATAATTATTTGCATGTACTTGTGTAGGAGCTGCAGGATGACGGAGGGATGGTTTCCTCCTGCATCAACTCCGCCTGTCTTTCCCTCCTTGATGCCAGTGTTACTCTCAAGTTCCTGGTCGCTGCTGTATCATGCTCCCTGAGACGGGACGGATCTATTCTCCTGGACCCCACCTCTAAACAGATGAGAGACGGAGTGGCGAACATTGTTTTTGTATTTGAGAGTAAAACAAGATCAGTGATCTCAACGCACTCTGAGGGTCCGGTTAACCCAGACAAGTTTCAAGAATGTTTAGCAATCACTAAAACTGCAGTTGAGAAAATATTCCAATTTTACAGAATTGTGATCGGGAAAAAATTCTCCAAAGACGTTTGATAATTTTTATTTTCAGAATTTTGAGAACTAAAGATAAAATGTCGGAGGTAAAAAAGCTGAAAGGAGAGATCCCGGTCGTAACTTCTAGTAGTATCTCAAGGAATCCAATTCGTTATTTAAACTGATTACGGTGTGACACAAAAAACTTTCAAATATGAAGGAGACGTTAAAGTGTTTTTGTATGAGTTTTATGGGTCCCAATGAACACTTTTAGTTCTTTTTAAATGAGGATCCATCCTGTTCCATATTGAAAATCTAGAAACACTAATTTTGAATGAAATTTTGAATTTAAATTAAGATTTGAATCTATTAGGGCTGAGATTGATCCCAAGATGACAGATTATTTCAGCTTACTTCCAGCTGAAACTGTTCTCAGGATACTAAAGGTCTCCATATTATTTCTTCTTGATAAGGCTTGTTTTATGTATAATGTTTATATTAAATGAATTTAATTTGAAAACAAAAGTTCTTTTATAAATGAATAATTGATTACTAAATACTAATCTCCGACTTCGGGCAGGTGCTTTTGAAAAATGACAATTATTATTCGGTAGTAAACTGGCTGTTGGCTTGTGGCTATGACTGTATTAGATGTACATTGCACATATTATATACTAGCTTGGTAATCCAGCTTTGTACACGGCACTCATAGTTACTCCCGCCGTTTACCCGCACTTAAACGATTTTACCGGGAAACTAGATTTTCGCTAAAAAAGTCGACCCACTCAACGTAGAATCTCAATACCAAGCTAAGGACATTGCCGTGGTTCTCCGACGTCCCCGATCCAAATTTGAGGCAAATTGGTATAGGGGTGCCTGAGTTATGATCGGACAAACAAACTAACAAACACCCAAACAAAGACTTATGTATATAAAAATACGGCACATTATAATTGTGCGCTTGCCACTGCCAGACATGGACTTTAAACCTCTTAAACGCTCGGTGGTTTTAGCATGGAACACTGAAGTCTGGGGTTTTAACTTAGGTTTCCCCTCAAGAATCATCTTTGATTTATTTTGAATTCATTTTAATCTTTTGTGTCTTTTGTGTATGAAAAATTGAAAATATGTTAATTAAAGATTTATGAATTTACTTATTGTTTAGTTTGTGGATGATCAACATGATCAGCTGAGCTTAGGGAAAACATGTAAGAGATTACTCGATATTTTCTACTCCAAGACAACCTGGAGCATTTACTGTGATTTTAAAACCGCTGCAGAGTTAGTTCCCACGATTAGATCAGTCTGTATCACACCGTCCTGGGAACCTGAATGCAAAGATATTGGATTCCTGGTTTCTAGGCACCCAGAGATAGAACGATTCAAAGTGTGTCCTGGCCCAAATGCAGATGATCACATTATTCGTAGGATAAAGCAAGTTTTCTTGTCCAACTCTGAGATAAGATCAGGTAATCCTTTAAACATTCTCAAAAATAACCTAATGTAACTTTTGAACTGATTAAGTTCTTACAAAATTATTAGCTCAAAGATATAATTAACAGTAATGGATAAGAAATACCGCATACCCTACTAAAACTTCCTCCATCTTTAATTTGATATTGATAATTAGATGTCGTGGGAAGCAGCGGTCCTTCAAGTTCTACCGGATGTTCTTCCGTCCTAGAGCGTCCGATCAGTGCTAAGTCCTTCCATGATAACTTGAGGGTTCTGATTCTCAAGGGTCTGAGTATAACTGGTAGTTCTATTGAGATAATTGTGTCTCTGTTTCTGAACTTGGAGGAGCTTGATATTAGCGGCTGTAGAAAAGTAACAGATCCCTGCTTTATCTCCTTGTATGAGAATGGATCTAAACTCTCTAAGCTTAGGAAACACATCAAGTTCTATTTTTTACAGTGGGGCTGAGGGGTGTATTGCATATTTTCTTAAAGGGAGTGACCGGCTATGTAAGGTAGTTGAACTGAGTATGCGGTGTTGTGGAAAATTTCTTTCGGATTCATTTGAGACATATTAAACCTTTTAAAGATCTGTAAATCCTGTGCTTAAGCGCAAATTCTACGTTCAAAACTCCTTCTTTGGGGGTGGATACGTTTTCAGAATCGTTTTTTTTAAATTATTAAATAACGACGACGAAAAGTAAAGTAAAAATCTCACAGTAATCTAATTAGATGGTTGGGAACATATTTCTCAAAAGAAATTTGTCAATGAATCAATGCTAGAATCAATTATTTCGTTTTTATCATTAAATTGAAATTCGAATTTTCTTTGAATTTATTCGCAGATTTCTTTAAACTCTTCAAATGTCGTCTTTTCAATAATAGTTCTAGAAAGTCTGCAGAAAACCCCCCCCGATCATCTAAAATAATTTTTTAGTTCTGGGAAATTATTGATTTTGGTGCGAAAAGAGTACTTTTAATATTTTGAGTTTTACCCAAATAATAGGAATGGCAATCGCAGAGTTAAGAAAATAACTATTTATTTTTAAATAAGGTTCAAGACGATGTTTACTTTAGAACTCTAGACGCTACATATACTTGTATTTCTGATGTTTCACTGAAACCAATTCTAACAATATTTCCGGCGCTAACTTCTCTTAGTATTGGCGGACATAACATTACTCCGAGTGGATTTAGGAATCTCTTCCAAAATCAGGGTCTGTCCTATCCAAACCTGGAGACGCTTAAGCTGTGTAAAGTAAATATGCAGGTGGAAACGATGCTAGGATCATTACTCAATCTCTTCCCTCGGCTTGTACTTCTAGATCATCTCTGCAGTTCCTTCAAGTATCTTCGGGAAGACGACAGCCATCTAGAAAGATTTAAGGTAAATAATAGTTAAATAACAGTTATCAGTCCCAGAATTTTTTTTGTGATTTTTAATTTTTCTTGGTCCACTTGGCCTTCAGTTGTAGGTAAATCGGGGCTTTGAGCCTATGCAAGTTTTCATTATATTTCAACCTACAGGTCGTTGTACTTTGTATGTAGGTTGATTGTTATTAATAATAATAATAATGCATATTTAGCTATGTTAGAAAGTGAATTTTGCTAATGTTTATTGTATTTGTAAAATCCAAAAAACTCCATAGTGCTTTGCAATTTTATGTTTGTGTAATGTGTATATTATTTAAAAAAATATAATTGTGCATTTCCAAAATTTTTGTTAGTAGTTAAAAGTTTTAAATTTCTACCGGTGAAAAACTTTGAGTTACCAAAAATGGGCCTGACGTTTTTACGTTTATTGGACACAAACAGATAGACAAGCCAAACATATAGACAAAGATTAACCTGATGAACTACTAGAATACAACCCTGGAGGAGATAAGGATCAGTACTCGGATAATGGAGGAGGAGTTTCTTAAAAAATTCAGGAAAACATTTAACCATTTAATCTCAAGATAAAACTTCCACCCCCCAACCCTTCAAACTCTCCCAACCCTCTTAACCCTCTCAACCTTACCAACCCTACCAACCCTCCCAACCAATTGGTGAAATGTTCTCAGTGGATGTAAGAACCTTAAGACCTTGGTTTGCACCACTACTCTCAAGGATGAAACCATCTTTTACTTGAGGAACAATATCTCTCACAGTCTCAAGATCAAGGTAGGGGTGTTTACTTTTCTGATTACCCTCCCCTGGTGGGGGGGGGGGTGAAGATGGTTTTTGGTAATATGGGTGGGGGGGGGGATCAAAAGTTGGAATCAAAAAGCTAGTTTTTTTATTTGTTTGATACTTTTTACCTTAAAATTCAGTTATTTTTCCTTAAAAAAATCATTATTTTCCCTAGTTCTGTGAAAAATAACCCTAGAAAATTAGTTCTAGTTCTAGTTCTAGTTCTAGTTTTGTGAAAAATAACCCTAGAAAATTTTAAAATCAACTTCTCATGGGAGAACAAAATTTCGAAGTAGGGAATGATTTTTCTAGAAAATATTAACAACTGTTTCTAGGTTGTCCCAGAGGTTTGCGATTATTCCTCCTTCGCGTACGAGGACTTGGACTTGGGCGTGGGTGTGGACGTGGGCGTGTACGAGGACGTGGACGAGTACGTGGACGAGTATGTGGACGAGTATGTGGACGAGGGCGTGGACGAGGACGTTTACGAGGACTTGTACGAGGACGTGAACGAGGACGTGAACGAGGACGTGAACGAGGACGTGGACGCGGACGAGGACGTGTACGCGGACGAGTACGCGGATGTGGATAAGGACGAGTACTACGGCGATTACGAGGAGACGGACGATTATTCCGCCTACGGGTACTTAGACGATTACGAGGATCATATGCCGATGGATTTTGATTCTGATGATTTTTATTAGTTTTGATTATATATCCTGCATTTAATAACATCTGCAATCTGTTTCTTACTGATAGTGTTTTGGTACACAGATGTATTGGTTTCTTTATCTCAGGCTTTATTCTATGTTTAATATGTTGTCAGAAATTTGGCATTATTTTTATCAAAAATATTGAATTTTGTTGAAATTTCTCATTTTCCACCCCTTAGTTTATGTTCCAGAAGGTTAACATTCCGGAAACCAGTTAAATTTTGTGTGATCTTTTTTCTCTCGTCAGTTTTTTGTTTTGTTTGATTGTCCAAATCGTTTTCATATTTGATTAGATTTAAGATTTTCTAATAATGGATTAACATTCAAAATATGATTTAGCGCATTTTTTATCATTGTTTAATTGGGGGTATTGACCTATTTTTTCAATGTTTCTAATTTTCAGGCTTAATCTTTTGTGATGTTTAAAAATAAATGTAAAATCTTACGATAAGGTTCAATACTATTTTTATTTAAATTATTATCTTGAGTGAAGAATATTTACAGTTGCAAAGTGTTTCTTTCCAGTTAAATCCTGGCAGGTTTAATTTTAATTTTAACTAGAAAATTAATACGAAATATAAAGATTGTTCAACTTTGTTGTCTTTTTAAGAAAAAAATGGCGGAAGGTAAAATGGAGAATACGTTAATATCTTTCGATGTTATCTCGAGGAATCTTAATCTGTTGATTTGTTTTAATTAAAGTGAAAGCTTACCACAATCAGACTGAATTTAGTTTTTAATTTGTTAATAAAATTACTTTCTTTAAGAATATTTTGTTTAAATTATAAGAGTTACTTTTAAACAAAGGTCGGAATTAGATAAAGAAGTATTTTTTTATTCGGGTTGAATTTATCAAAATGAAATTAAACAGAAGGATTAAACTAAATCGGCATTAACTAAACCACTATAAAAATCTAACAAATTGAGATATGTCTAGTCCTGAGCTAGAGGAGAATAATACTGACTTCTTCAGTTTGCTTCCAGCTGAAATTATATTCAAAATAGTCCAGGTTGGACTCTTTCAAATTTTTCGAAACTTTGTAACATTTCCATTGATAAGTTTTTCTTTAGAAATGTGCATTATTTTTCAAGATGACCAAGGGACACTGTACCCTTCAAACCTCTATCTGAAACCTGTAACCTTCAAACCTCTATCTGAAACCTGTACCCTTCAAACCTCTATCTGAAACCTGTACCCTTCAAACCTGTATCTGATCGAAAATGTGGAAAAGGTGATTTTTCTAGCTTTAAAAGTGAATTCTTACAATTTGCCTTCATTGGCGTTGTGGCAAGAATCCACAATTAAAAATAACCATTTTTAAAACAGCTACTACCAACTATGGCTACCTCATTCATTTTAGATGAGACAAGGTCTGTAAGGGTACTGTTGTGAATTGGATTAACCACTAATTCAAAGGAGTGTGACTTAGAATTACAAAGACAGTCTTTTTCATGCTTATTTTGTATGAATATTGTAAGCTATACGTAAACCTTTTTATTCCAGTATATCCGAGTTCAGGCTGATCAGCTTAGGTTTGGAAAGACGTGTAAAAGGATGCTCCAGATCTACTTAAACCAGAAATCCTGGTTGGTGAGAATTAGATCCATTACTGATATCAAAACCTTCTCTACAGCCGTTCCCTTGATCAGTTGGGTGTTGATATTGCATGAGAGTTCCTCGAGCCTGGACTTACGATTCCTAGTGGCTGGGCACCCGGAGATAGAACGCTTGGATGTCAGAAGAGTAGGATTATTCTGGAATGACTGGATAAATGATGATCGAATAGTTCAACACATGAGACCTAGTTCCTTGATGGACCCTCAGAAGAGTTCGGGTAAAACTTTTTTTAAAAATCCATTCTCACCTAATTGTAAAAGTAACAATTCACTTTAATAGATGTTCCGGAAACTGTTCCATCAATCGCAGGTTCCTGTGTTCCTGACAAATTGTTCCATGAAAACTTGAAGGATCTCAGATTGCGAGGACTTAACATATCCTACAATTCTTTAAAGATAATCTTCTCTCTTCTCCAGAACCTGGAGACACTAGATGTGAGTGACTGTCAAAAGTTGACGGACATATGTTTTGACTTTCTAGATAAGAAAGGATTAAAACATCACAATCTTAGGAAAGACGGAAGAAAAAATTTTTATAGCTTTTATAAAATTTATTTATATCATATAACTTTTTAAGATGGCATTGTGTTCTTAGGGAGAGTACTGCGAGTTTTGACAAAATTGTGACTCAACGGGTCTGCAGACGTAATTTTAAGGCATCCTATTAAGTGATGAATTCTGTAAATTATTTTCTTTGTCTCTGTTACATGAAATCCGCAATTCACTTGGCATGTAAGTCACTCAAAATTGACGTCTACATTCTCTACATTCACTTTAATTTTCCTTTATATAATTTCTGCTTGCTCGCTGAGCGTGCCATGAGGTGGCCATGAGCCACAACCGTTTGTCTTCCATGACACATATCAGCTTTTTTTTTGTCTTCCGGCAGCCATGAGCCACAACCGTTTGTTCTTCCAAGCCACAACATTTGAGTCTTTCGACAATTATTACGTTTTTAAATGATAAATTTAATGCTTTACATTTACAAAGAAAATTTCACAATTTCACCGAGACAAATTGTTCTGGGTAGAATAAGAAGAGAAAAATCACACATCAAATGTAATTATTATTTCAAGTTAAAACTTCAATATAAAGATCTTGATATATATCTATTGCATGACGTGCCTAGATTTTTGAAAATCGTAATGAATGCACTAAACCATTTAAAAACGCAATTATTGCCGAAAGATAAAAGTGTTGTGGCTGATGGCTGCCAAAAGACAAAAGCTTAAATGTGAAATGGTAGACCAAACGTTTGGGGCTCATGGCCGACTGCTTTCCCCGCTCGCACGGTATTTGAAAAAAAAATTATTTTCTTGGGTATGCTTTTAGTGCATATTTTTAAATTGTCATAGACATTTTTTAAATACCATACCCTTTAAATTTTATTTTTATTTAGCAAAATTTTCTCTGTTGCAAAAAAATTGATTTGGCGTTTTCAACTAAATAAACAGAACCTAAATAATCTTAATTTATCTATATTTTTTCTTTCTTTGTGGCGTTTAAGGCATTTAGCTGTAAGAGGGACAACGATTTCCAACAAGTCTCTAAAGCCAATCATGACAATATTCCCGGCTCTGAAGTCTTTAAGTATCGGCAGTTTTGAGATCGATTCTGAGGGGTTTACCAACTTAGCAACTCAGGGGTTATCATATCCCTGCCTTGAGAGGTTAACTTTATGCTTTGGATGTATAGGATTGACATCATTCTGCTCATCATTATCCAGACTATTCCCCAAGCTCAAGTTTCTTGATGTTTTGGAAATACCGCTTTTTGATGTTTATCTAGACTTCTACCAACGGCTCTCCAATGCGGTGAATATTTTTTTGAAAAATCCACCAATTCGGCAAATTTGGCTGAAATAAAACCCGTAAACGTTACCAATTTATTTGTTCAGAAATCTGCAAACTTGACCAATTTGGTTGAAAAAACCCGCAAACTTTGTCAATTTGGTTGAAAGAAAAACCCTCAAACGCGGTCAATTTGGTTGAAAGAAACGCAACAGATGCACAGTGCATGACAACGTATAACATTAACCTTAAGTCTGAAATTAGTAAAAAAAAAAATACCGTTTACATTAAATTACTGTAAAGGACACCTTATTTTGAACAGATTCCCCCATCATAAGATTTAACGAAGCTCAGCTTTATATTTGTACTTACTGCTTTAGTGTATCCTAATATTTTTATTTTTAAGGCGAAATATTTGGAAGAATTGAGAATAAGTACGAAGTTTAGCTCACACAAGTCTTTAATGCATCTCAGGGAAAGATAAACTGATCACTCTTGTAATAGGGAATCTAAGGGTGTACAAATTTATTCTTTCCCCTCCTGAGGGGGGGGGNGGGGGGGGGGGGGGGGGGGGGGTGAAGAAAAAGTTTAAATACAAAAATCCTGGACGTTTATTTTTCCATATAGCGGATGTATGAATCTGAAGACCTTGGTTTGCACCACTATCCTGAAAGATGAAACCATCTTGCACTTGAAGAACAATATTCCCCACAGTCTCAAGATCAAGGTTGTCCCAGAGGTTTGCGATTATTCCTTCTATGGGTTCTATGACGAGGATGAGGACGAGGACGAGGATGAGGATGCGGATGAGGATGAGGAATACGTTGGAATGTTTCCTGATTTATCCAGCGATAATCAGTACCTTGGAGATAATGAACTTGCTTTTAAACTTATGATTCAAGCGCGACTCGGTCCTTGAACTTAAAATGAAATGCATTTTATTTTGGCCCTCGCATGAAAAACTGACCTAAAGTTAATTACGATTTTAAAAGATTATTCTCTCTCACAGTTGATCCCAATCATAAAATGATCTCATGGCGCTCATTGATTTATGGAATCTTAATATTTAAGTATATTTACCCATTTAGTTTAAAGCCGTAAAATCAATTTTCAAGTGATATAAAAGCATATTTTTATCCTATTTTTCTTTTGAAAATTACGATTAAGATATTTATATTTCTTCTGCAGAATGTATTCGGCTTATACTTTTAATTGGCTGTGACTTTATTTCTCATCGTTTGTCACAGGAATTTAAAGAATTTTACTATTTTGTCTTTTTCAGATAACATGGCGTTGGCTGGGTGGATCGACGAATATAAAGTATTATAACTAGTAGGCAAATCTGTGATTAAGATGGAGGATAAATATTCCTTTTGTAGTGATAAATTCCTTAGATTTAGGAAACCACCGGATAAGTACTCAGATTTTTTTCGTTCAAAACATCATTCTGAACCGAGTATTAGCAACAAAATACGGCATGAAAATCCCTTTGATCTCGAAATATCTTCTTCCGATCCAAACCTTAATCCTGCTGAAACCGAACTCATGAATTTTATCCTAGCTTCAGATTTTCTCCTTTTAGAATTAGGAAAAGGAAGCAAGGATAGTTTGAACAGAACAATCCAGTATTTAGACAGACTTAAGTTAAACAGTTTCACTTATTCTAACAATGGTAAAACTTATTTGTTTGGGTTTAAAGATTTTAAAAACAACAAGTGTAAAAGTGATATTGAGAAAAAGGAAAAATTAATTTTATATTTTCAAACTGTTCTTGATGAGCTAAAGAAGGAGGAAGTGACAATAATCTCGGATGAAGACAAGGTTCAGGATGAACTTGATGTATCAATGGACGATGGAAAAAATGTTCAGGAGGACGGGGACAACTTTCCACTTTTAGAATGGGAGTTGAGAAATCTTAAAAGCTTGAAAACTGAGGTCGGATCCGAGGTTCGCACTGAGGAGCATGGAGTAACATTTAACGAGGAGACAAGGAACCAAGATCTGTACCATGAGAATGGAGAAACATTGGAGGTTTTTCAAACCATACTTAATGATTCTGTTAGAACTGCAGAACCATTCATCCCTATTGAAGAAGATAAAGACGAAAGCTTTCATGAGGAAGTGAAACAGAAGAAATTACGTAAGTTTAAATTGTCCACGTTGCATTTTGTATGATAATTAATTGACTGATTGCTTTATTTTTTAGAATCTCAAAGGAGAATTTCAAAAACCAAAGAAACTACAACGCCAAACCTTGAGATTAGGAAAGTGAAAAAACGAGCGCGGAGGGGTAGTTGTGGAACTAAAAAGAATAAAATCTGTAATCCTGTCTATTCTAAACCTGAGGTTGTTAATGAACCTGACGATAAACCTAAACGTAGTTCAAGGCGTTCTTTACCTGAGGTAAAGTACAGGGAGCTGGATTCAGACGATGATTTTGATACCAGGGAGAAAGTGAAACCAAACAAGATGAGAAAAGTTTCAACTGAAAATATTTGCAAAAGTACAAAGTTGGGCGAAGGAAGTTGTGAAGAGGAAAGTATAGTTGGAGATGAGGTTGAGGTTGATGATTTGCTGGACGGGAGTGACGAGGAGATGGAGAATATCCCTAGGTTTCCTCTTAATAAAATCCTCTGGGAGTTCAGGCACCCAAAAAACAGGTCAGGGAAGGAGAAGATTAGGATTGAAGATCTCAAAGATAGATCTGTTGTGTGTTCTCTTTGTTGTGTTTATCAGTTGAACCTGAGAAACCCTAGAACTATATTAGTCTGCAATGTTGAAGGTAGGAAAGGAATCCTGGGTTCTCCATACAAAGCTCTAACCAGTAACGTTCATCCACTGAACCCGGATATTGACGCTCAAATCCTGGATCATTACTCATCAAATCCCAACTATGCATCTCTATCTAATGCTTATGAAGAGGTGAAGAAATATATTAACCTTAAAGAACAAGTGTTTGATCTATCCTTTAATATCAAACCTGCCTTGGACTACTTTAGACTAAGTCGTGAAGAGCGCGAGGGTTATAAACAAGATATTTTAGTTATGGCAGAATACTCGAGATTAAGTTTACCTTGTACACCGAAATCAGTAAAACCCATTAAACCGAAAAAGAAACTTTTAATAAAAAGAGTTGAATCTCGGAAGGAAAAGGATCATTATCTCAGCCCTGAGATGCTAGAGCTCCTAACTGGACTCGGAGAAAACTGGGCTTTGGACTGGATATTATCAGACTCGGAAAGATTAAAGAAAATTGCAACAATGGAGATTCCGTCTAAACGACACGAACTGTTTTTTGTTCCTAAACAAAGATATTCGACTGGTGGATTGAATCTAACTGAACTAATCGATCTCTCCAACCCGTTGTTTAGTGATATGTTCCGGGAAGAGAAAGCCGAAATCGATCTTAAAATTCAAGAGTTACTCCGAGTAGAGGTGCTAAACCCTGTGATGCAGGATCCGTCCTGTGATCCTAGACTCAAGGAGAGCAGTCAACCATCGAAGGTAAAGACTAAGCTGATAATTCTACTAAAAGATTTACCACGTTGAGCAATTAAACGACGCACGAAATGACATTTTAAATCGCCTGGAAAGGGTCAATGCAAGTTTTGTAATTCTAATTCGTATTTTTTTTAGGATCAATGCAAGTTGTATATAGAGTTGGTTTTAATCCCCGAAACTTTTGTAGAATGGATCAGAAACTTTAGAAAAGTTGATCATCAGGTAGTTTTTTACTTTTTCTCCAGGTTTTATTCTCATGGTTCTATACTCGTGGTTCTATACTCGTGGTTCTATAGCCAGTTCAAATTCTCTTTTTCAACGTGAAGTTTAGATCCAGGACCAACATTGTGCACCCCTCCACTGGAGTGTTTGGACATGTAGTCCATCTCTTCCCACACCTTGTAAGTAGCAACAGCAGCAGCAGCTAGACTTCCACTAGCAACCTCACCAACTATTTTTAGTTGATGGTTAGACTCCGCACTGGATTGTCCTGAGAAGTGAGTGATAGCTTTGCTTGCTCCACGTTCCAAGTGAGGAGCAGCCATCCTTCCTAATGCCAAAGTTGCACTTCCAACCTTGCTGGTTCTATACTCGTGGTTCTACACTCATGGTACTATACTCATGGTTCTATACTCGTGGTTCTATACTCGTGGTTCTATACTCGTGGTTGTATACTCGTGGTTCTATACTGAAAGGTTTAACTATTGTTATATTAGAATTTTGACATGGTTTCTGCAGGGTCTTATTTAATGTTCTGTACGTACAGTGTAGCCTCATTATGCGGTGTTCCAAATAATCAGGTCCTACTCAGGGATTCTACTCATTCTCTCTTTTCTCAGGATTCTACTCAGGGTTCCCTATATACTCAGGATCCTACTCATTCTCTCTTTTCTTAGGATTCTACTCAGGGTTCTCTATACTCATGATTCTACTCAGGGTTCTCTCTATACTCAAGATTCTTCTCAGGGTTCTCTCTTTACTCAGGAGTCTACTCAGGGTTCTCTCTATACTCTGGATTCTTCTCAGGGTTCTCTCTATACTCAAGATTCTTCTTAGGGTTCTCTCTATACTCAGGAGTCTACTCAGAGTTCTCTCTGTACTCAAGATTCTACTCAGGGTTCTCTATATACTCAGGATTCTACTCAGGGTTCTCTCTATACTCAGGATTCTACTCAGGGTTCTCTATATACTCAGGATTCTACTCAGGGGGTTTTCTCTATACTTAGGATTCTACTAAAGATTCTTTATACTCAGGATTTTACTCAGGGTTCTCTCAATACTCAGGATTCTACTTAGGGTTCTCTCAATTCTCAGGGTTTTACTCAGTATTCTCTATATACTCAAGATTCTACTCAGGGTTCTCTCTATACTCAGGATTCTACTCAGGGTTCTCTCTATACTCAGGATTCTACTCAAGGTTTTTATATACTCAGGATTCTACTCAGGGTTCTCTCCATACTCAGGTTTCAACTCAGGGTTCTCTATATACTCAGGATACTACTCAGGGTTCTCTATATACTCAGGATTCTACTAAGGGTTCTCTATATACTCAGGGTTCTCTATATACTCAGGGTTCTCTATATACTCAGGGTTCTCTATATACTCAGGATTTTACTCATGGTTCTCTCTATACTGAGGATTCTACTCAAGATTCAGGCTTCTGTCTAAACTCAGAGTTCTCTCTATACTCAGGGTTCTGCTCAAAGTTCTAAACTCAGGGTTCTACTGCGCATTTAAATCAGGGCATTAAATTCTAATTACCATTCTTGACTCTTTTATCTCTTGAGTTTGTTTAGGAAGCTGAGAGGTTATTTAATTCTGTTGGGAAGTTTCTTAGTGATGAAATGCTTGAACGTTACTCCGTATAGTTGGAAGAAGAAAAGAAGAGACGGAGAGGACAGAAAGAGAATAGGAAGAAGAAGAACAATTAAAGACACTACATTTTACTTGACGTGGTTCTTTTCATTCTTCATATCGGGGCTCAGGATCCGCTTATGCAACATGTGATGAAATATCAACCAAGACATACTTAGGCTCTGCTCCATAATAATATGAATGCCAAGGGGCACTGGACCCATGTATAAAGCGTCCAGTGCCCCTTTTAACAAAGGCACTTTTTCGGACGTTGGAAAAAACAAACTAATGCAATTTGTATAGGTGGATCTGTTTCAACCAGGCATGATGTATTTTTACTCATCTGGAAGCAATCGAAAATTTGATAAGAATTGAGTTTCCAGGTGTTTCATGGCAAAGCACTGGCTCATTTGGAACTTAATTTTTATAAAATTATTTGTATATCATAGTTTTTTTATTTTTTTTTTATTTATATTTTATATTTTGAATTTTGGTTTTTCTCAGATTATATATTCCATATGAAGTATGAGACACGTAAAACCTAGGATGATCATTTTAGGTACTTTTAAACTGTTTGAGAAGAAGTTTCTCTGCCTGAGTCTTTTGATCCTAAACTTACTAGTTTCTTAATTCAAATTAGAGCTAGGATGTATATGTATAGTATTCACCCGTCTACAAGCCGATGATGAAAATTATTTCTAGGGCTGACCACGAAAGTAGATCTAAAATCAATTGATAATTATATAAACTAATATTTGTAAAAATCGAATTTTATAACTTATATCATTTAATTTAGTTTGTTGATAGTTAATACCCAAATCGATAAAAAGGAAGCAATTGAACCTTGTAACTTTGTCACGCAACCCTTTTTCAAAAATTATGTATACCAATATTTGTAAAAGTCGAATTTTATAACTTTATAATTTAGTTTGTTTATAGTTATCTTTTTCGTATTTTCTAACATATACTGTTATAAAATAATATTTGACTACCAACGTTTAAGTATTAGCTATGTTTTCTTATTCATGTTTGCGTTAAGTAAATTCTTTAATTTTTATTTTAACATGAACAATTTTTATTTACACTTTACATTGCATGCACTCACTACAGTATTACAAAACTAATTTTCAAAATTATCTTTAGATAAAAGTTTATTGAAGTCTTGTGTTATCTTAGTTACTGAATTATTTCAGATAGAACTATCCCGAGTCCGGAGAAGAGGTTTGTTGAGTATCTGGAGAAAGCTCCGAGTTCAGGATTGGTCAGGAGCCGGAAGGATTTGATCAGCTGTACGGAGAAAAATAATTTGCATTACACAATGTCTTCACACGTTAAACTCGGCAGGTTTGGCCGATTTCATTAATTTATTTTATTTATTTACTAAGGTCAATTTTATTAATAATTTGAATTAGTTATCTTCACACTATTTAATGTTTCACGTTTTCCTAATTTGTGAAACAAAAACTACAATGAATTGATTTTGAATAAAATATTTTGTTGTCAATCAGAGAACTCAAGGCCCTTAATTGTTTATTAAAAGAAATATTCACCATTTATTGTTGACTAGGAGCTTGGAAAACATTTTAACCAGAATCAATTTAGAAGTTTATGGGTTGGGAGGAATCAGCTGGTTTGCTGTGTGTCTCGAAGCTCCAGAACACAATGGAGCTCTCCGGTTCAACCATGGAGCTATTCCTCTCCCTTCAACCCGTCCTGGAGAATATTATCAAATCCTTTCAGTCAAGGTAACAACCGCTGCGGCGTATAAAGTTATGATCGAGGGAATTAGAATATTAAAAACGTATTGATTCAAGATAAGAGAGCGTTAATGAATCTGATTAAAGATAGGCAAATTTATTTTATGGTCTTTGTTTGTCTGAAGAGTATCTGAGATACCCATCCGTAATTGTTCTCCGCTGCATATTCAGAATATAAATGCTATCGGTAAAAACTTGCGTTTGTAATCAAATTTAAAATTATACTTTAGATTTATTTTTGATTACAGATTATAAAAAACTTAAAGGAACTGTAAACTTAATTTTAAGTGGCTCTGCATGCAAAGATAGCAATGACGGTCACCTTGAAACCTTAGCCTGATTAAAAACTGTGGACGATTATGTCATTTTCTGATTATTTCAGTCAATTTTTCCATTTTTTCTTTAAAGCAAGAAATGCGCAAGTCACTTTTGCAGAGAAACCGTAAATAAAATATGTTAATTATACTTGATCAGACAAAGCTTTGAAAATCGGGCATTGTCATCATTGTTTGGAGGGTCACTTGAAGTTACGCTTACAGTCCGTTTTAAGTTAGTATGATTGTGATTAAAAGTTTCGAAGGAATATTTTAATATTAATGCAGAGGTCAGATTTAATGAATAGATAGAAGTGGTTGAACTATTGGCTAGTTTAACTACTTTTCTAGTGTACTATCGACCACACAGTTCTGATATCTGATACTAGTTAAACTACTCCTCGCTAATGATTAATTTTGACTCTAGGAGTGTGTATGTCTGGTCCTGGTGCTAATGATTAATTATGACTCTAGGAGTGTGTATGTCTGGTCCTGGTGCTAATGATTAATTATGACTCTAGAAGTGTGTATGTCTGGTCCTGGTGCTAATGATTAATTATGACTCTAGGAGTGTGTATGTCTGGTCCTGGTGCTAATGATTAATTATGACTCTAGAAGTGTGTATGTCTGGTCCTGGTGCTAATGATTAATTATGACTCTAGGAGTGTGTATGTCTGGTCCGGGTGCTAATGATTAATTATTACTCTAGGAGTGTGCATGTCTGGTCCTGGTGCTAATGATTAATTATGACTCTAGGAGTGTGTATGTCTGGTCCTGGTGCTGATGCAAAGTATAAAAGTGCGGATGAGAAGGAGGACGAGGAAAATAAAAGGAAAGGAAAGAAGAAGAAGATCCTGCTCGGAGGGTTGGGAGCAGGTGTTCTTCTCGGAGCATATCTCGGGTTCAAGGCGACACAGTCCAAGAAATCGCCGATAGTTAATGATAGCTTAGAAAAGGATTTTATTTTGGACACAAAACCACCAGAGTTCAGGTTTATTTTTTTCTGATTTAAAAAAATGTACAATCTAAATCTAAAATTTTTTTATCTGTTAGATTTTTTTTTTGGTCCTTTACTATTTTACTTAAATCAGAAGTACGTATTTTGATATTATTACCTTCCCACTTAAAAGAACTGGGGAAGAGAAAATGTAAAATATATTAACTATCATTAATAATTGTATTATTTTCTAGTCCCTCGAGACAAATAAGAACGGAGACGGATAAAACCGGATTAAAAATAACTCTTTATCAATACCAAACCTGCCCTTTTTGCTGTAAGGTAAGATATTAAAAACTCAGGTTGTAGATAGACAATAGATTTTAATTTTTTATTTAAAAATCGTTTTTAATTTATCATTCCATTTATCCTCTAAATTAATTTATTTACGGCCTCCTTACTAATAAAGTTCAGCGGTATAAAAAATTTGACAAAACGTTGATGAAATCTGCCGTCATAAGAAAGAAACATTTTTTAAATAAAGTAAATGAGGGATGGAAGTAATTCTTAAGAAAATTAATATCCTCTTGAATATCCGTTTTTGAGTTTTAAAAACTTCAAATCATAATAACTTAAAGCTCTCTGTTCCAATTCTCTAATCCCTATAAAAAATCTAGGCTCGGGCGTTCCTTGACTACTACGGGTTGAACTACGACGTGGTTGAGGTGAACAGTGTTCTCCGGACCCAGGTTAAGTGGTCTAAATACAAGAAAGTTCCAATAGTTGTTGTCGAGTACAAAGATAAGGTATAAGAATAAAGAATTACCACGTTGTTTAAAAGGAACTTATTACTATATATTACTTTAATCTTTGCATCCTAATGGATTAAACCATTGATATTTCAAACTGACTTGATCTAGTAGAATTTTATAAACATCAAAGGTGTACGATATCAAGTATTAAAAATATATGGAATAAAAAAAAGGGCGGGTAATCAGTTTTGTTATTAGATTAAAATTTAGAAATTTTTTGAAATTTTTTTTTGGCATACTTTAAAAACGTCGGTTTTAAACATTTTTACATAACATGAGAATTTCTCTGTTCATGAAAAAGTTAAATATTTAGTTTAATGTTTATTTTAAACTGAATTTAGGTTCTGCAGCTTAATGACAGTTCTGTGATTGTATCCGCCCTATTCTCCCAGCTCCTAGATTCTAATACATCCTTAGATTCAATCATGGATTGTTATCCGTCCATCAGGTTTTTTTTTATATTTTTACTAGCTTGGGAACCCGGCTCTGCCCAGGTTAATCCCGCCGTTTACCCGCACTTGGTCGATTTTACCGGAAAACTAAATTTTCGCTTTAAAATTCGACCCACTAAAGTTAGAATCTTGTGGTTCTCCGGAGTTACCCAATCAATATTTGAGGCAATTCGGTCCAGTGGTTCGGACAAACAAACAAACAGAGATTCAAACTTTATATATAGATATATCCATGTTAAAAATGTTCAGAGGGGTCAACTGGGTCAACACTTTTGCGTAAAAATAATCAAAACAGCCAAGAGCTATTTTCCACCTAATTGCTTTTTACTTGACTGTTAAAATAATCATCAAATTGTAATTGTAAACTTGTTCTGTACACAGATACATGTATTTTAGCAATACACTTTATCTAGCTATCTAAACATCTCTTATATCTGTAAAGTTAATAGATTTCAACTATGGCAAATTTGAGGGAAAAATTCTGAATCCCTTAATAGATAGGAGCTAATGCTTCTGTTCATCCCTGCAGAGATGTCTGATCTATAGGAGATCATAGCTGGGAACTTTAGAATGGGATATCGTTACGTTTGATAACAATTACAGATACGGTGCTATATCGATTGGACTGATATCAGATTGAACTAAAGTCTGCTGTTCTCAAGCCGGCTTTTAGAAGCATTTAAACGAATATAAATTTAATCATGTTAATATGAACTTATTAAAAACATATTTCATCACATTTGAGGACTATTTTGAACGTTAGCCTTGATAAATATTAATCCAAAACATACATTCGTTCTATCGATCATTAGTTCAATTGATATGACACCATCAACACTACCAGAAATGCGCAAAAATTAAAAACCGGTTTATCAAAAGTGAAAGAGCGCATCTCTAATCTCTAGAAATTAATCCAAAGACTAACATAATCTTGATATTAGCAAAAAGAGACTATCAAGCATTAATCTCGATATGCACCATTCTAAAGTTTTTTAGCTCAGCAGTTTAATCTGCGGTATTGCACAAGATGCTGATAACAACTAAATCCAGGGATTTACAACTCAAAAGTTTGGCAATCAGAAGAGAATATATTTAAAAAGAATATATGTAATGTGGGAAAATTTAAATTCAGAATCGCTTTTCTTTTAGTTAAGAGGCGAAGGCTCCTCTAAAGACCGGCCAAGTGTTAGAGCTCAATCCTGATTTGATTGTATTATATCCTACAGGTGTGTAGGTCAATTGTTAATGATATGATAATATCTAGATATTATGACGAGGATGGGAAGGAGAAGCAAGATACTCAAAACAAATACTTCCTCATGTACAATGAGGCAAAGGTTAACAGAACCAAAGAAGTAAGCGTTTCTCAAATCTTAAATAATTATAAATTGAAAGAAATTGTTCGTTTATGTTTACTGTTGATTCATGCTCAATAGAACATAGTTTTTAAATGTTAATGTACTGCATGCAGGATATTGTTGATATATGTTAATGTACTGCATGCAGGATATTGTTTATATATGTTAATTTTATTGCTGGATATTGTTTACATATGTTTATGTACTGTAGGATATTGTTATATATGTTAATGTGCGGCAGAATATTGTTTATATATGTTAATGTACTGCTGAATATTGTTTACATATGTTAATGTAATGTAGGATATTGTTTAATTATATATCTATATGTGCTGCAGGATATTGTTAAATATGTTTATGTACTGTAGGATATTGTTTATATATGTTGATGTGCGGCAGAATATTGTTCATATATGTATATGTATTGAAGGTTATTGTTTATAATTATTAATGTATTGGTGGATATTTCTTTTATATGTTTATTTTTGTTAATGTACTGAAGGATATTGTTTATATTTGTTAATGTACTGCAGTCTTTTGATCCTAAACTTACTAGTTTCTTAATTCAAAATAGAGCTAGGATGTATATGTATAGTATTCACCCGTCTACAAGCCGATGATGGATTTTAATTCTAAGGCTGACTACGAATGTAGATTTATACTCAATGGATATTGTTTATATTTGTTAATGTACTGCAGAATATTGTTTATATTTGTCAATGTACTGCAGGATATTGTTTATGTATGTATGCAGGTATTGTTCATATTTGTTAATGGACTGTAGGATATTGTTTATATTTGTTAATGTAATGTAGGATATTGTTTATATTTGTTAATGTACTGCAGAATATTGTTTATATTTGTTAATGTAATATTGGATATTGTTTATATATGTACTGCAGGTATTGTTTATATTTGTTAATGGACTGCAGGATATTGTTTATATTTGTTAATGTACTGCAGGTATTGTTTATATTTGTCAATGTACTGCAGGCTATTGTTTACATTTGTTAATGGACTGCAGAATATTGTTTATATATGTTAATGTACTGCAAGACATTGTTTATGTTTGTCAATGTACTGCAGACTATTGTTTATATTTGTTAATGGACTGCAGGATATTGTTTACATATATTTATGTACTGCAGGATATTGTCGAGGAGAGAAGATGGAGAAAATGGACTGATGAAGTATTGGTGCATACACTTAGTCCTAATGTTTACAGAAGGTAATTCTTCATTTATTGATCTGTATCATTGAATTATTCATCAAAATATTTATGATACCTAAACGACTATTTTCTTTCGAACCAGCTTAAATCCAGTCTTAACTTAGTGATTTAGAGATAACATCTTTAAGATCCGAATAAAAGAAGGGAATTGTATCTAAATCAGTGGAGTTGGGGCCTGCACTCCTGTCCACTGAGCGTATCTATTAATAACCGTAGTTACGGTTATTCTAGACGGAGTCCTCAGCCCTGGCTTCCACGGAATGATTTAATTAATTGTTTGTTTGTTTGTTCCGAATGAACTTTTTGTTTACTGTTTTTATTTTAGTCCCGGAGAAGCTCTGGCAACGTTCCAATGGTTCGACGAGGTCGGAAATTGGCCACAATTGTTCCAGGCCTGGGAACGTTATCTTGTGATTTATTTTGGAGCTCTTGTTATGTATTTAATAGGAGGCAGGCTCAAGAAACGGCATAATCTTAAGGTTTGATTACTACTTCTTATTCACTGATTAACTAGATAAGTTAGACATATATTTTTATCTTAACAGTTAGCATCACAAGTTCTAGGAATTAGATAAGCTTCTACATTATAACTGTTAGACATATATTTTATCTAACAGTCAGTATCACAAGTTCTAGGAATTACTGACTTTGAGGATTTTTCTATTTAAAAACGCCATACTCTTCAAGGAGGTCAGTCCACCCCTCTCAAAGTATTACTAAAGATCTCAGTTTATCGTATTATAAAACTTTTTAGTGGGTTCTTAATATTTTTTTGTGAATTAAACAACATGCACATTGCACAAGTTTGGAAAGTTATGTTTCAGGATTAAATTGTTTATTTTTTTCGTTCATTTTTTCTCGAGAAACTCTAGGATGACCATTCAAGTTATAAGCTGAAGGGTTTTGTTCTGAGATATAGAATGTGTCAGTCTGCTGAGCAATCCAGAGATGATTTCAAGGATGTACGGGGGGGGGGACTTAAGCTGCCAAAATTCCAGAAGAAATTCGGAGTTGAAGCATTTTTCGAAATGTCTTCTTCATTAAAAACACGCACGATGATTTTTCTATTGAATACAAACTTAAGTCTCTATTGCAGTGTACTGCAGACTATTTTAACAACATAAATGGATAATTCAGGATATTCATTATCTGTGCAGTACTATTAATAATAATTAATAATAATTATAATAATTTAAGAAATCATGCGAATGGTTTCTTCACACTGAACTATTTATGATATTGACCGGAACTCCCTGTACTTACTTAATTTACGCTGGTCTCTTTACACTGAACTACTTTGTTTGGTGTTCACTGATTTTTTTACACTACTACTAGGATAAATTACGAGAGTCCTTATACAGTGTTTACTGATCACTTTACATTGTACTATTAGGATAAATTACGAGAGTCCTTACACAGTGTTTACTGATCACTTTACACTGTACTATTAGGATAAATTACGAGAGTCCTTATACAGTGTTCACTGATCACTTTACACTGTACTATTATGATAAATTACGAGAGTCCTTATACAGTGTTCACTGATCACTTTACACTGTACTATTAGGAAAAATTACGAGAGTTTTTTTACAGTGTTTACTGATAACTTTACACTGTACTATTAGGAAAAATTACGAGAGTTTTTTTACTGTGTTTACTGATAACTTTACACTGTACTATTAGTAAAAATTACGAGAGTCTTTGTACAGTGTATACTGATCACTTTACACTGTGCTATTAGTAAAAATTACGAGAGTCTTTGTACAGTGTTCACTGTTCACTTTACACGGTACTATTAGTAAAAATTACGAGAGTCTTTGTACAGTGTTCACTGATCACTTTACACGGTACTATTAGTAAAAATTACGAGAGTCTTTGTACAGTGTTCACTGTTCACTTTACACGGTACTATTAGTAAAAATTACGGGAGTCTTTGTACAGTGTTCACTGATCTCTTTACACTGTACAATTTTGGACAATGTATGGAAGTCTTTGTTTACTGTTCACTGATATCTTTACACTGTACTATTTTGGACAATGTACGGAAATCTTTGTAGTATTTATTCACTGATCTCTTTACACTGTACTATTAGGATAAATTACGAGAGTCTTTACATTGTACTATATAGGATAATGTACTTGAGTCTCTGTACTATGTTTACTGGTCTCTTTACACTGTACTTTTTAGGATAATGTACGTGAGTCTCTGTATGATGAATGTAACCACTGGTTAAAAAGTTTAAAGAAAAAAGGAACTCCGTTTATGGGAGGAGAAGTACCAAACCTAGCGGACCTTGCGGTTTTTGGAGTCCTTAGTGCTATAGAGGGCTGCCAAGCATTCAAGGTACAATACAAGTTCTTTTGAGTGAGCCTCAATTCTGCGATTTTGTTTTATACAACAAACACGAATTGTCAAAAATAAAAAATAAAAATAAAAAAATTTATGAGAGATCTGTTCAGGGGTGTATACAAGATTTTACGCTTAAAATTTTCGACATTCCAAGGGGTGGGGGCTCAGCTTATTTTTCACTCTTACAGGGGGCGGGGGGGGGGGGGGTTTAACCCCTCAGACACTACGTTTACGCCCTCAGACACTCGTTATTAAAACTGAATACAAACAGTATGCTCCTCTAAACATTACAATCTAAATATATTCCTAAATTACACTTCTAAATAGAAAACAGGCCTATATAGTTTTTTTTTATATAAAATGATCAGTTGTGAATATTAAACTTGTAAAAAAAATATATTAAACTTTGTCGTCTTCAAATTGTTATGTTTATTGGTAGACACGGTATATTGTTATAAATAGCATTGTTATTATCTAGGATGCACGAGAAAACACTAAGATAGGAGACTGGTTTGATCTAATGAAGCAAGCTGTGAACAAGAGAGAAGGACAGCTTCATATCTAGACCTGGAGAACGTTTAATCCAACCTTGATCAGTATATTTAGAAGAATTTACTCTGGAGAGAAACTCTGCATCAGTTGTCAATTTTTTTTAGAGTATTAAAATGATTCTTGAATTAAAATTTTGTCATTCTTGAACCTGCACTGCACCTTAATTCTGTTCCTGATTCTGAACCTACACCTTAATTCTGTTCCTGATTCTAAACCTGAACCTTAATTCTGTTCCTGATTCTGAACTTGCACCTTAATTCTGTTCCTGATTCTGAACTTGCACCTTAATTCTGTTTCTGATTCGGAACCTGAACTTTAATTCTGTTTCTGATTCTGAACCTGCACCTTAATTCTGTTTCTGATTCTGAACCTGCACCTTAATTCTGTTCCTGATTCTGAACCTGAAATTTAAATATGTTCCTGATCTTGAACCTGAACCTTAATTCTGTTTATGATTCCGAACCTGATCCTCAATTTTGTTCCTGATTCAGAACCGAAACCCGTTACTGATCTTGAACGAGAACTTGAAATTGATTCTTTTTTCATTTGATTTATAATCCTTATTTTAATATTAACCTAGAGTTCAGAACTCGCAGTTCCTAATTTAAATCCTAGTTCTGATTAAAAATCTGAACCTATTTGATCCATGTTAGACGAGACTAGTTTAATTTATGATTTGGCTCGTGGATTTAATTCCCTAGAAATAAATGATTTTGTTAAATCAAGAATTAAAATTTAAAATTTTTCTTTTCTGCTTTTCAAAACTAAAAATGTGATTATTTGAAGCTTGATTTTTGATTTCTACATTCAACTGAATATTTTGATGGTTTACCGAATGATTAAACACAGAAATAAGCCAGTTTTTGTCCTACAAGGAGCTCTGAATGCAAGAAAAAGAATGAAAAAAAATTCCGTACAATCGTCTCTTGAAGTTTCACCTTTTGTGGATAACCCTGTATATTTGATGTAAAAGGCTGTTTTGTTATTCTGCAAAACATTGTTTGATTTGTCTGTAACATTTGTGCAGGAAAATCAGGGAATAAGAACAACTTACTTTGTTTTACTTTTATTAGGATAACAAAAGAGAAGGAATTATTTGGTCGAAATGATACAAAAGAGAAGGAATAAGATGTACTGTAGACATGTACAGAAGAGAAGGAATAAGGTGTACTGTGCATGGACAAGTACAGGAGAGAAGGAATACGTTGTACTGTGACAGGTACAGAAGAGAAGGAATAAGGTGTACTGTGCATGGACAAGTTCAGAAGAGAAGGAATAAGGTTTACTGTGCATGGACAAGTAAAGAAGAGAAGGAATACGGTGTACTGTAGACATGTACAGAAGAGAAGGACTAAGGTGTACGGTGGACAGAGTGGACATGAAAAGAAGAGAAGAAATAAGGTGTACCGTGCATGGACGTGTACAGAAGAAAAGAAATAAGGTGTACGGTGCAAGGACAAGTACATAATTGAGAATTGGAATTAGGTGTACGGTGGACAGAGTGCACATGTGAAGAAGAGAAGAAATAAGGTGTAAATTGTAGACATGTACAGAAGAGAAGGATAAAGGTGTACTGTACAGTGTGCATAGACATGTACAGAAGAAAAGATGTAAAGTGGACGGTGCATGGACAAGTACACAAGAGAAGGAATAAGGTGTACGGTGGACATATACAAAAGAGAAGATAAAAGATGTATGGTGGACATGTACATAAAGAAGAGAAGGATAGAATAAATTGTTAGAAATATAGGATTCGCAGGATGTGAATTTCAATTCTAGTACACAGGGTATCCCGTACATCATAAGATCCTCAATCGGTCTAAATTACGATTTTCGGGACTAATCAGAAAATTTGAGAAGAATAAATAATTTGAAAAATTGAAACAAGGCAAATGTAAGATTTTTTTGCGGAAAATAATAGTTTTTTTCGGGTATTGTGTTTATGTTGGCGTTAAAGATTGGAGATAATCTATATTGGACGCTCTGTATACAATTATATATATAATAATCAATAAAAGTTCTGAAACCCGCCTCAGTTTCTTAAAATAGATTAAGTTCATAAATGGTGATCATTAATTTTATTAAATTGCAGTTGCGGTTAAACGTTAATTCATCTTTGTTTTCTAGTTTCGATGGATTTTATAAAATTCTTGAAAGATAGTTGTCTAGTGAGACAGAGAATGGGAACAAAACCAAACCAAACCTTATCGAACAGAGCATTCAGACTCAGTAGAGATTGGTGTGTATGTCTCGCGATAAACATAAATCAAATTTAATCACAAATACAATTGTAAATTGCTATCTCAGCCAGCTGTGTTAATGATTTACTATTCATTGTGCAGTGTTAACATCATGGTATTAATTTTTGTGGCAAGGAACTAATACATGCATGTGAATGTATCCTAAGAAAAAATGTACAAAAAGTTATTTCAAGTTCTTTCTCTTGGTTTTGCAAGTTTTTGTTAAATTAAGTCATCTGACACATTGTTATTCAAAATATGATGTAATGGGTATCTAGCACGTATTCTTATTAAGTGTCTAATTTCACTTGATTGATATTATCTTGCGATCCACTGGCTACCTTCTAAATAAAATACTAAAGTCCTTACAAAGAACTTCTGTTCAGTATCATCTTGTGTATCAATTATTGAAAATATAATTATTTCAGATTCAGGCGAAATGTCCAGTTTTGGAGGGATATCCCTCTCTAGTCTTCTCCCTGCACCTACTCAGCAATCCTGGGATAGGGATGAGGCGAGAGCAAAGCAGGAGGTGACAAGCACCAATATTGTCTCTGCATCAAGAACAGCTCCGCCCTATGGAAAACGGAAAGGATGGATTCCACGAACTGTCGACGATTTTGGCGACGGCGGAGCATTTCCGGAGATTCATGTCGCTCAATATCCATTAAACATGGGGCGGACGGAGGAGACTAAATCAAACGCCCTGGCGGTTCAACTAGATGCCTCTGGTAAAGTTAAATATGACGTGTTGGCCAGACAAGGAAACAGGAAAGATAAAATTATATTTTCTAAGTTCTCCGATCTGCTCCCATCCGAGGTTAGGGACGAAAACGACTCTGAGCTGCAGAAACCTGACGAGGAGGAGGTTTTTGACACAACGGAGAAAACAAGACAAGCCCTTGAGAAACTGACCTCGTCCAAGATCACTGCCGCCTTGCCGGTCAGAGCTGCTGAGAAGCAGGAACCTGCTCAGTATATTAGATACACACCCAGCCAGCAGGGAATGGCATTTAACTCCGGAGCTAAACAAAGGGTGATCAGGATGGTTGAGGTTCAGCAGGATCCAATCGAACCCCCAAAGTTTAAGATCAACAAGAAGGTGCCTCGAGGCCCTCCTAGTCCTCCTGCTCCTGTCATGCATTCTCCTACAAGGAAGGTGACAGCTAAGGAGCAAGCTGACTGGAAAATTCCTCCTTGTATTTCTAACTGGAAGAACGCTAAAGGTTACACTATTCCTCTAGATAAACGTCTAGCAGCGGATGGGCGAGGACTACAACAGGTTCATATCAATGAAAACTTCTCTAAGCTCGCAGAGGCATTGTATATTGCGGATAGAAAGGCTAGAGAGGCGGTAGAGATGAGAGCTACTTTGGAGAAGAAGTTGGCACAGAAGGAAAAAGAAGCCAAGGAATCCAAGTTAAGAGAGTTGGCGCAGAAGGCAAGGGAGGAGAGAGCAGGTATCAGGACTGCTACCAAGGATGACGGGGAGAAGGAGAGAGACGATCTGAGATACGAGAGACACAAGGACAGGGCGAGACAGAGGAATATTGAGAGAGCTGCTCCAGACCGTAGATCCAAGTTGAATAGGGAACAGGAGAGGGATATCTCGGAACAGATTGCTCTGGGTATGCCGGCTAAAACTACCACGACCGGAGAAGGTATGTTTGATGCCAGACTCTTCAACCAGTCCCGAGGAATGGATTCAGGGTTCAACGACGATGAATCCTTTGCGGCGTATGATCAGCCGTGGCGGAAGGAAGGCAGTTTGGCGAATAATATTTACCGTCCTGGAAAGAATTTGGACAGTGAGATGTACGGTGGAGCGGAGGATCTAGAAGCTCTCAGGTCTCATTCTTCGTTTCATAAAAATCAGAGTTATAAACCCCATTTTTGTAATTTTAATTTTAACAAAACTTTTGGTTTTCAGATCGTCAAAGCGGTTTGTTCCCGACAAAGAGTTCAGCGGCGCAGATCGTGCAGTATCCGGTAGATCTGGTCCAGTGCAGTTCGAGAAGGAGGAGGCTGATCCCTTCGGTCTTGATGCTTTCTTGGATACTGTTAAGACTGCAGAGAGGAAAAGACCTAACGATGATGATCGACGCAAAGATGATCGGTAAATTAAATAAATTCATTAGAAATCAACACCAAGATAAAAATTAAAAACTTTCTATAGTGAATCACTCAACAAAAATAGAATCGCTAACAATGATAGAATAATAAGACATTTTACTTTTTTTTCGTCAAATGAAGAATTCACGTTGTCTCTTTTATGATCAGATTATTGTTAAAACCAGTTTTATTTTGCGTATCATATTTCAAATCTTTTGATAAGCAATTTGTAAAACTAAACTAAAACTAAATATATAAAAAATAATTCTTAAATTATCATAGTTTTTTTTCAGGGATCGTGATAGAAAGAGAAGGAAGGACTATGATTAACTGTTCTATGGATCCCTGCAATTAATAATGGATCTATTTCTGCGGGTTTACAATGGATTTACAACAGTTAACATTTACACATCTTGGTCTAGAGCTTTTAATTCGTGAAAGCGTGAAACTTAACATTATTTGGATAATATTTGATTAAGAAGTTATCTCTTTAAGCTCCTCTTTTTTGTTAATAGTTCATTTTTTAAACTATCTCCTGACCAAGCCACCTCTACTGTATGTTTTCAGATTAAATGCCTGATCTTGATGATCCCCAGGAGCACAGTCAAACATATCATTCTTTAACCTTAAACATGGAGTCATCCCCTCCATCCGCCCTACAATCAACTCCCCCTTCCCAGCCCTACACTCCCCCAGATGAATCTTCCACTCCACACAAACCTTTGGTTCAACCCTCAACTCCAATAGTCCTCCCATCTACTCCTGTGAGTCAACCATCTACTCCTATAACACCACCAACTACTCCCTTTAATCAACCCATTAAAACAGATGAAGACTCCCAGGATTCAAGTCCCGAGTTAAAAAGGTTTGTAAACAAAACATAAAAAGTAAATTTTTAAATTTGGATTCTCTAAATGGACAAAACACCGATACTCTTTTATGTTCTCCAAGTGAAATAATTTTTTGGTGTGTAATTAGTAAGTCCAAAAACTATTGTTTCCTATAAAAATACATATTAGCTACGTACCAAAAACTATTGTTTCCTATAAAAATACATATTAGCTACGTACCAAAAACTATTGTTTCCTATAAAAATACATATTAGCTACGTACCAAAAACTATTGTTTCCTATAAAAATACATATTAGCTACGTACCAAAAACTATTGTTTCCTATAAAAATACATATTAGCTACGTACCAAAAACTATTGTTTCCTATAAAAATACATATTAGCTACGTACCAAAAACTATTGTTTCCTATAAAAATACATATTAGCTACGTACCAAAAACTATTGTTTCCTATAAAAATACATATTAGCTACGTACCAAAAACTATTGTTTCCTATAAAAATACATATTAGCTACGTACCAAAAACTATTGTTTCCTATAAAAATACATATTAGCTACGTACCAAAAACTATTGTTTCCTATAAAAATACATATTAGCTACGTACCAAAAACTATTGTTTCCTATAAAAATACATATTAGCTACGTACCAAAAACTATTGTTTCCTATAAAAATACATATTAGCTACGTACCAAAAACNAAAGGTCACGATACATAACTGAAATGACAAGCTGGGATAGGTGTTGTTTACATTTTGCTCTGACATATATGGACGGTAGTTCTGGAATTTGGTAAATTGTAAACAAGACTTGGTTCTTGGGTCGATAATACTTGGACTCTTAACAAAATCCTTCTTTTCAGTTCTAAGTCAGAACCATCATGCTAAGGAATGATAAATAATATGATAGTTTTATTTTTAGTTGTTATGGACGTGAACCGAAGTTTGAAACGGTTTCCTCCAGGTATAGGAGAGGAGGAGAGACCTGCTCTCCAGGAGCAACTAACCAGGCTGATTATCAGGGTTATCATGAAACATCCGCATCTTCATTACTATCAGGGTATGACGATCACTAGAATCTTTTAAAATATTTGTTTGAAACCTGTGTTATTGAAAATATTCAATAAATAATACAAATAGTTGTAATTGTAAAATAACGAAATTTTCCATATTTTAGGTTATCATGATGTTGCTATAACATTTCTACTTGTTGTCGGTGAGGAGCTGGGTTTCCAGATAGTAGAACGTCTCTCTGTATCTCACCTGCAGGAGTTTATGGCGCCAACAATGGAAGAGACAGTCAGCCTTCTCCAATTCATGTATCCGCTCTTTCGACGCCGGAATCCAATTCTACATTCTCATCTAATGCGCGCAGAGCTTGGAACTATATTTGCACTTCCCTGGCTGATCACGTGGTTTGGACACGTGCTCCCGGATTACGGAGATGTTGTTAGACTTTACGATTTTTTCTTAGCACAACCGCCGCGGATGCCGATTTACTTGGCAGCCGCCATTGTTCTTCATCGTGAGAAAGAAATTTTAGCAACAGGTTGGTTCTAAAGAGATATTTGGGCTTAGGGGCGGTTTGCCGAATTACAAAATAAAAAAAAAAATTTAAAAAATTGCTATCAAGTAATAAGCGGGAAAGGTCATACAATACAGTTTACAAGCTATAAGGCCTTGCTTCATTCTTGATTTAGTAAAGTCATCTTGAGATTGAATCGTGGATAGTATGACCTCCCTAAAAGCCTGATCTGATTTGATTTGGCGATGTGTGTTATTGTTTAGCCATAAAAATTTATGTTCATGTTGAATATATGAAGAAAGTTTGATAATTGAGTTATTATAGGATGTGAGATTCCTGATTGATTGGTTTGAAATGGAAAACGATTTAACTGTTTCTAAATGAGTAATTTATTAAAGAATGTTAGATATCTGGTTTATTAATTGATTACAGAATACGAGATATCTGTTTCTTCTAAATAATTTAGTACGAAAGAGATATGTGATTTAATGATTTATAAGGGAATGAATGAATGAGATTGAAAGGATGAAAAGATGAACAATTGATCTATTGATTGGTTGATTGATTGATTGATTGATTGATTGATTGATTGATTGATTGATTGATTGATTGATTGATTGATTGATTGATTGCAGAATGTGAGATGTCAAGTATCCACGGGCTTCTCTCTCAAATCCCCCAAGATCTGCCCTTTGAAATATTGTTAAAAGAAGCTCAGCTTCTCTATGAAGATATTCCTCCTCATACTATTCAGGAATATAACTTATTAGATCTTTTTAGACAGTTTATTTATACTAATGAGGGAAAACGGAAAATAATAACTATTCTGAAAATGTGTGAAAATTCTCAAGATTTTACACTAACAGCTTCGGGAATAAAATTATAAATCATATACTTTGAGTAAAGTGATTATTTTTCTTAAGTTTTTAACCAATTGTTATCATCTCAGATGTTATTTTTATCATTAATTAATCTAATTAAAAAATATTTTCAGATTGATAAATATACGAATAAACTGTAACAGTGATACAAAAGAATCCGAGGATCGTTGCCTGGGGCGGAGGTTAGATGATCGAGGATCAAGGCGGAGGCTAACCAGAAGCTCCGCCTCTTCTGTTCCCAGTGCGTATAGCAGCACTGAGTCTGAACCAGAGATAGTTAAAAAACCAATCCGACGGCGGAGACGGCGGCGGAAAGGTTCTAAGGATGAGTCGAGTAGTGTACGTAAATCTGATGAAATAGAAAAGGCTCTGTTGAGCAGAGATATTGATAAACTGGGTCAGCTGGCAGTCAGTCCCCTGGGTCTACTCTCAGACGAGGTACAGAGTCTAAAACTAAAGAATGTAAAGTTACAGCTTAAATGTTGAGTTTCAGCCAATATGTTCAGTTTCAGCTAAAATACAGCTCGTGACTTAAATTAAACCTTAACTTGTTGCTACAGATTAAATATCTAACTCATCGAAACCGACGAGATGAATATTTAAGCCAATATAATCCCCGCAGTTCATTTTCTATCAATTAAAAAAAGATTTTCTGGAAAATGTGGCATAATCTGGGATTTTTTAAACCTTGAATAATGAATTCATTATTTCACAGTACAATAAATAAAAAAGTTAAGAATGTTAGTAAAACTTGAAAGATAAATATTCATTTGAAATTCTTAATTTAAGTCGGAAAATATTCTTCCATAAGAAAAGAAACGATAAATGTTTCCCGAATCTAAAGAAAATTTTATTTATTTTCATAAATTTTTTATTTGAAATATTTTTTCTTTTGATTGACTCATTGTGGTTGTTCTGTTGAATTTCAATCAACCAGGGCTGAAAACTTTAGAATGAGATATCCTTGATCCCGATTACTTAACCTGAGTATCCAATGGACAAACTTTTGATTTTCTTCTTAAACCGTTCTTTCTTGGCCCAAAAACCGGTTTTTCTAAATTAGAGAGTTCCTCACATTTCTACATATAATCTTAAATGGCGGGCAAAATTTCAAATTTATCGGCTTCATATACGCGACTCTGATTGGTTGAATTTTATACACTTTTCAGGATACAACGTACAAGATTAGGTTAGTCTCGATATTAAGAAAAAGAGAGGATCAAACATTAATCTCGATATCCACCATTCTAAAGTTTTCAGCTCAGTCTATATATTTTTGTATCTCAGTGGTTACTCTTTCAATTCATTCACTTGTAATATTAAAATGCATTCCTGTTAGATGCGTGTTCGAGTATGGCCGAGATTAATGGGAATAGATCTTATAGAGACAGATGTTACAATCCCAACAGACGAGGAGATTAAAAAACATCCAGAGTACAATCAAGGTACAGAAAACCTTAATTCTTGTAAAATCCACTTCTCTTTCTTCTCTTTCTTCTCTTTCTTCTCCTCCTTCTCTTCCTTCCCTTCCTTCTCTTCCTTCTCTTCCTTCCTTTTTTCTCTTTTTTCTCTTCTCTTTCTTTTCTTCCTCCTCCTGAATTTTGATCTCCTGAATCGGAGTTTATTAATTGTTTACTAATGACCAGACAAAACTTTAACAGAACTTCCAATCCTCCTCTCCATGTCATATTATCGAGCTTAGAGAAACTACAATTGTGTTATTTCTCTGAAAGTTGATGTTTAAACTAAACCAGTTTCTGGCTGTTAAGTGTTTATATATGACCACAGTTTTCCATTTTGTTGGAAATGTTTCTGAAAGTATAAAAAGCACGTTTGCTGAAATTTTGAAAATTAATTTTATTTCCTTTTTTGTAGATTGAAGTTTTTTTTCTGGATCATTGTAAAAATGTTAAATTTTAATGTTATTAAAAAAATTTATATATTGTTATTTAGGGCATTCTAGATACATCACATTAATTGTAATTAATTTAGATAATATCCTACAGAAATATATATTTAAATATAGAGATAATCTATTAATTTTCTTAAGTTGTATAAGAAGTATTTCAGATGAAAAATGGGTAAAAAAGACAAAAAACGACGACACCGGAGTTCGTCGTCTGAAAGTGAAAGAAAGCACAAGTCGAAACGTCGTCGTTCAAGATCATGGAGTAGACACCGGAGCCGGAGTAGGAGTAGGAGCAAGTCGACGGAGAAAAAGAAATCCTTTAATTTTCTCAAACACAAATCCAAACTAAATAAAATTTTCTTCCGTGCTGAAGATTTGATCAAGGAAAGAGAACAGAAGTAATGTTGTTCAACCCTGTTAAGCGCTGAGGTCTAGTGTAGGGGTCGGTAACATAGCATATAGCAAATTGTATTTGATCAAATTTTGACTTCTGAAATGTTTAATAAATCTTAAAATAGAATTAATTAATGCCATTTTAAGATATCGCTTATAATTTTAATGGAAAGAACATTATTGATATATAATTGTAAATAAAATGTAAGATACAAAAAAACTAACTGTTGTAAAGAAATTTTAATGAAAGGGCTATTGTGATAAAAATTACGACTCCAAACTCTTATTAAACTCGGGTTTAAGCTACTTACAGGAATTGGTCGGTTTATGTCACCATTTCATTCCACTCAAGTTTTTTTGTATTACTTCAGCTATCTTTGACAGCAAGGAACACGGGAATACGATGAATTCTGGAAATATTTGCAAAAATATCAAGAATTTGAGAAGAAACGTAAACACGAGAAGATTCGGAGACCTAAAGATGAATTTTCCGAGTTTCTCCAGATCCCAAGTATACATAAGAAGGAATATAACTCTAGTTTCTCCATGTTACCCCTGGACCCTGCAGATCTACTTCTTCGGATTAGTTTCCAGGATGAAGAAGGAAGAAATATTCTAACCAAGGCAGGATACTTGATATCTAGATTTTTTTAAAGAAAAATATTCTGATAAGTCATGTTTCTAAGGAATCTTTGGCTTGGTTTGGTTTGGTTTGGTTTGGTTTGATTTGGTCAGGTTTGAGATGATTAGACATGGTTAGACATGTTTAGACATGGTTAGACATGTTTAGACATGTTTAGAGATGCTTAACGATGCTTATAGATGGTAGATGTTGCAAACCTAAAAGGGTCGGTTTTAAGATAAGGTTGTTTTTATTTGTTAGCACATAAATTTTTATGAACAATGTTTAAAAGGTAATTTTAATTTGCGTCTTCAAGATTTAGAGATGGGTTATAAAGGCTGTATGGAAGATTAGTTACATGGAGAACTTGAACGATCATGAGAATTACTATGTAGACCAACAAACATTAATATGATCCTCTGTTACAGAAATAAATTATAGTGGACAGGGATTAGTTAATAAAGGTAAAGGGATGATATGAAAAAAACGGGTTCATGTATTAAAGGGGTGAGTAATAAGGTTTGTAGGATAGGAATATGTTAATGGGATTAGTAATAAGAGTAGTGTAATAAAGGGTAAACTTGAAGGGATGAGTAATAAGAGTAGTGTAATAAAGGGTAAACTTGAAGGGATGAGTAATAAGAGAGTGTAATAAAGGGTAAACTTGAAGGGATGAGTAATAAGAGTAGTGTAATAAAGGGTAAACTTGAAGGGATGAGTAATAAGAGTAGTATAATAAAGGGTAAACTTGAAGGGATGAGTAATAAGAGTAGTGTAATAAAGGGTAAACTTGAAGGGATGAGTAATAAGAGTAGTGTAATAAAGGGTAAACTTGAAGGGATGAGTAATAGGAATGGAGGAATAAAGGTTAAAGTTAAAGGATGAGGAAAGAAAATTGTCGAATGAGTGCAAGTTGTGGATTAGGAATGTAAGGGTCTAAAAATGAATGAGAAAATCATTTAAAGGGCCTTAAAAACCCTTAAACTAAACCTGCTCGTTCTTTAGATAATCTTTGTCAAATGTCCATGAATTTGGCAAAAAAAGAGATTAGTTGTGAGGGGTTTCTAATTTCCCTGATATGCTGGAATTTTAAAAAATTTAACACCGATATCTTGTGATCAGGAGATGGTTCTAGAGTTCAAACACATTCTCCAAACCTTTCTGAGTTTCCTGCAGCGTGAAAAGTTTTCTAAACTTAAGAAACTTCGAGAAGGTCAGCGTAACCTTCCTATAGCAGTTTACAGGGAGGAGATTCTTACAACCCTAGAGCAAAACCAGGTTATAAACAGATCTTTAAATAAGAGATGTTTATTCGGTAATAGTGCAGTACTTCCGTCTTTCGATTCTTTGGACCTACGCAACATCGGACCTACGCAGAAAAATCGATGTTCCGATTGACCACAAATTTAAGTAGGTCAGATGCAAACTTTTTTAGATCGGATGCACAGATTTCGTAGGTCAGATGCCACAACTTTAGTAGGTCAGATGCACAACCTACTAAAGTTGTGCATCCGACCTACTAAATTTGTTTATCCAACCTTCTAAAGTTATTGTGCATTCGACATACAAATAATGTACATCCGACCTACAGTAAACCACGTGCGGGTAGGTCCGAAGTATCGTAGTACGGATTTTATGTTGGGCGAATGTAATGCAATCTGTTTATTCATCAGTCTTAACCCTATCCCTGCTGGGGTACTTGAAAACCAGGATATGCTGGGGGGGGGGGTCAATTTGACCCCCCCTCTAAATCCCATGTTTTATGTCCAAATATGACAAATGATACATCATTGGAAAGCTCTTGTGCTCTACTTTTAGAATCTGCAAAAAAATTTGCAAATTTGCAAAAATTGAATTTTTTATAAAATCGTTCAGGATTTATCTAAACCTTATCAAGGTTATCATAGTGGCTGGAGATACAGGTTGCGGAAAATCAACCCAGGTTCCACAGTTTCTTCTCCAGGTACATACTAACATAATAATAGGTTTAATATTTTGCTGTTTTACTAATTGGTTGGTTTTTTTTTTTGATAGATGTTAAATATTTCAGGCTGGATATACAAACATAGCGTGTACGCAACCTCGGCGTATAGCTTGCATCTCCCTGGCAAACAGGGTTAGTCATGAAACCTTGAACCAGTACGGACAAGAGATAGGATATCAAATCAGGTACAATACTATTGTACGGACAAGAGATAGGATATTAAATCAGGCATAGTACTATTGTACTTACAAGAGAAAGGATATCAAATCAGGCATAGTACTATAGTACTTACAAGAGATAGGATATCAAATCAGGCATAGTACTATTGATATAGGATATCAAATCAGGCATAGTAGTATAGTACTTACAAGATATAGGATATCAAATCAGACATAGTAGTATAGTACTTAGTACTAAAGTACTTACAAGAGATAGGATATCAAATCAGGCATAGTACTATTGTACGGACTAGAGATAGGATATCAAATCAGGCATAGTACTATAGTACTTACAATAGATAGGATATCAAATCAGGCATAGTACTATAGTACCTACAAGAGATAGGATATGCATAGTACTTACAAGAGATAGGATATCAAATCAGGCATAGTACTATAGTACTTACAAGAGATAAGTTATCAAATCAGGCATAGTACTATAGTACTTACAAGAGATAGGATATCAAATCAGGCATAGTACTAAAGTACTTACAAGAGATAGGATATCAATGATTGACGTGTGACATTATTTTTGATTTTTTTTGCACAAGTATCAAAAACTTTTACCTTCAGATTATATTCTCTTAGGTTCGAGAAACAGAAAACCCAGAATACAAAAGTCGTCTTTCTTACAGAAGGTTTATTGCTAAGACAGGTAAGGATTATTTTCTTCCAAAAAGAACAAATCTTTTTTTCATAAAAACAAAGAATTATTTTTTCAGATTTCCAGCGATGCTAGCTTGAGCTCTTACAACGTGATTGTTTTGGACGAGGTCCATGAGAGACACCTTCACGGAGATTTTCTCCTCGGAGTTATCAAGTGTCTTCTCCAGCATAGAGAGGATCTTAGGTAACCCGAGGCCGAATTTAACGAATTTGAGCCGCGGTTTAAATTTAAGCTGCGGCTCAAATTTTGGGGGATTTGAGAATTAAGACGTGGCTTAAATTCATTAAATTCCGAAACAGGATATTCATCCTGTTCAAGTAGATAATCTATTGATTTACTATTAGTTGAGGTGGAATATTATAAGAATTGTCCAACTACAGTGTTATCCACAAGAGATGAGACTGTAGAGATAACTGAAAACTTTTAAGATATCACTATCCTAAGGTTAAATTTAGTCTTTTGCCTTGAATAAACTCTTTCAATGGTTTATAAGATGATTTGGTAAAGAGAGATACAAGTTTATAGTTGCAGGGAATCATGAATATATGAAAACAGACAGCACTAATTCCGTACAGTCGTCTCTGTTATAAGGGATCAGTCGTACAGTCATCTCTTGTGGGTAACCCTGTATACAGAAAATAGAAAATAGTCATGGGCAGTCGAAATTATAATGTATTTAATCCAAATCATAAAGTGAACACCAGAGATATCAAGATCAAAGGGCTCCTAATATTGAAAAAGAAATAAATACATCTTAAAAATAGAAATATTTTTAAAATTATGAAAATGAACTGGAAAGTATCCAGAACTTTCCTTGTTTCCCGAAACAATCACAAAAGAACTTTTTGTGAAATCTAGATAAATATTTTCCTTGTTTAAGATTGATTCTGATGTCGGCCACCATCAACATCCAGTTGTTTAAGGATTACTTCCAGGGCGAGGCGCCAGTTATACAGGTCGGTTTCATTTAAAATTCATTTGCTGTTTTGTAAAATGAGGGGGGTGGGGAGGGGTTTTTAGATGCGATATTTCTTGAAATAATATTTTCTTAATTTGAATCTATATTTAAGCAAAACTAGTATATGAGCTGTCATAATACGTCATACAGTGAGACCCACGAAACTGTGCAATAGTAAGGCAATGTTTCAACATCTTTAAGTGGTTATAAAGCAAATAGTTTTACCAGTAGCCTCAAATCAATTTATTAAGTGAAATTGGTCTGTGAACATTGCACAATTGCAGCATTCCATCTTCACTTTTTGAAATCCTTAGTTGAGTCAAACAGTCCATAAACTTATCTCTCCTCTCCATAGGTTTATTACTCACCAGGGTGAGATGAATTCGGTTTCTTCTAAAATTCAACAACTTTTAACTTTCCGGGTTTTTTTTTTTTTCTTTTTTCTTTTAAAAGGTTTTTTTCAAAAAAGGGAAAAAGTATAAAAAAATCTTAAATAATTAACTGTTACTCAGGTCCCTGGTCGACTGTATCCTATAGTTCTCGAGTACCATCCTGTACCCTGTGTAGAGGACAGTGACAGAGTTAATCCTGCTCCCTATGTTCGGATACTTCAGGTTCGGGCTCAAACTTATTTTTAGTTTAAGTTCTGAATAATTCTGAGATTTTTTTAAAACCATTCTTGTAGATAATAGATAAGAAGTATCCTGTCACAGAACGAGGAGATCTTCTAATTTTTCTCAGTGGTATCACAGAAATAACAAGGGTATGTACCGACATTTCAGTCTTTGGTGTACCAACATTTCAGTCTTAAATGTACCAACACATTTCAGTCTAAGATGTACCAACATTTCAGTCTTAGATGTACCAATATTCCAGTCTTAGATGTACCAACATTTCAATCTTAAATGTACTAACATTCCAGTTCTAAATTTACCAACATTTCAGTCTTAAATGTTACTAACATTTCAGTCTTAAATTTACTAACATTTCAGTCTTAAATGATCCGAAATTTCTGTTCTAAATATACCAACATTTCATTCTTAATGTACTACCATGTTATTCTTTAATGTACCAACATTTTAGTCTTAGGTTTACCAACATGTTAGTCTTAGATATTTCAGTCTTTAATGCATCAACATTTCAGCTCTAAATGTACCAACATTTCATTTTTAGATGTACCAACATTTCAGTCTTAAATGTACTAACATTTCAGTCTTAAATGATCCGGCATTTCAGTAGTAATTATACCAACATTTCAGTCTTAATTTACTAACATCTTATTCTTTAATGTACCAACATTTCAGTCTTATGTTTACCAACATTTCAGTCTTAGATGTACCAACATTTCAGTTTTAAATGTACCAACATTTCAGTCTTTAATGCATCAACATTTCAGTTCTAAATTTACCAGCATTTTAGTCTTAAATATATCAACATTTGAGTTTTAAATGTACCAACATTTCAGTCTTGAAAGTAACAACCTTTCTGTCATATTTTTCCCCTGATTTTATTTCTTAAGGTTGCGGATGCATGTCGTCAGTACGCGGAGATTAACAATAAATGGATTGTCCTACCCCTCCACAGCACCCTGAGCTTGGCAGAGCAGGAGAAGGTCTTCGACTATCCTCCAGACGGGATTAGGGAATTAATCATTCAAATAAAAGCCAGAGTTCTATATTCATTGCAAATTTTTGTTGAAGATTTCAATTGATTTTTTTTTGAGGTTTTATTCACTAATTTTTGGTTAAATAAAGTTAAAAATATCAAAAACTTTCCAGTTAATGCCAAATTTTTCCTCAAAGAATTTAAAATTATCCCCATTTTGCATTTGAATGATCTGTCTTTTACGTAGGAAAGCCATTATTAGCACAAATATCGCTGAAACCTCGGTAACTATCGACGGTGTAAGGTTTGTCTGTGACTCAGGGAAGGTTAAGGAGATGACCTACGATCCTGTGTGTAAAATGCAGAGACTGAAAGAGTTCTGGGTGAGACATTTTTTTCCTTGTTAAAAATATTTATTAATTTCTCAGTTTTCTGCAAAAAGAATATTCTTAAAACTGTCGATATAAAGGTGAGCAGAGCGAGTGCTGAGCAGAGGAAGGGTAGAGCAGGCAGAACTGGTCCAGGAGTCTGCTATAGACTCTACGCAGAGTCAGAATACTCAGAATTTACTCCGTACTCTAAACCTGAAATAGAACGTGTACCTCTCGACTCTCTAGTCCTCCAAATGGTCTCAATGGGGCTCCCTGACGCCCGGAAATTTCCGTTTATAGAACCTCCTCCTCCGGAATCTCTGGAGAACAGTATCCTTGTTCTCAAGGAGCAGGGAGCTATGACTGAGGACGAACGTCTTACAACCATGGGGAAAATGTTGGCAAACCTTCCCGTTGATGTTTCCATCGGAAAAATTCTGATAAACGGATCCTTGTTTCATCAAGTGGATTCAGTTCTCACCCTAGCCGCAGCGCTCTCTGTGCAGTCCCCCTTCACTAATCAAGCTTATAGGTAAAGTCTATCAAACTCAATTGAACCCTCTCTCTCAATTTTTATTAGTACTCGCCAGTATCTCTCCTTGTTCAGATTTGATAAAATATTACTCCAGGGACTCGGATTGTATGGCATCGAGAAGGAACCTGGACAGTGATCATGGTGATCCTCTTACACTTCTTAACGCATTCAGAGAGTGGTTGAGGATTAAAGTAAGTATTCTGGACTAGGGTTCTGTGGGCAAAAGGTCAATAATAACCAGGGGTGTATGACCACAAACGATATGTACTCTCAGGACCATGTAAACACAATTTGGGAACCAGAACCAACAAAATACAAAAAAAAATATTACCTAACAAACTTTTAAAAAGCATAAGAAATGGGATTAGTAAGTAGCAAGTTATAAAAAAGGCCATGCTTAAAAAAAATGTGTTAAATCAGATGATTAAAATTCCAAAGCGTGCATATGTTCAATGTATGATGCTATAAATTAAAACCTTATTTTATTCTTGTTATATATTTCACACATTGTTCTGGGCTCATTTATTTTGGGGTTGATATTATTTCCCTCGGATTCAGAAAGCCAAAATGTTGCGGCTCTAACGGATCCTGACCATAACAACTGATTTTATATTTTCTTAATCTGCGACTGAACCAGGTTGACGAACGAGAGAACAGCAGGAAATGGTGTAAGAAGCGGGGTTTAGAAGAACAACGGTTCTACGAGATGACTAAACTCAGGAGACAGTTTGAGGATTTACTCCGGGATTCCGGACTCCTGGAGCAGGTTAGGACGGGAGGAAATCTCTCCAGTAGTGAGAGAATGGCCAGACATGGAGAGCTAAAACAGCTCAGAGAGGCAAAAAGAAATCATCAAAAAGAGGTGAGTGGGAAGATTGTAAATAAAATAAAATAAAAAATAATAAAATTAATATAAATAAATAAAGATATAAAAGTGTTAAGCATAAATAGATATATGTATGTTGTAGGGACCCAGGAGAAAGAAAACCCTGAAGATCGGAGATGAGGACGCAGAGGATGAAGAGGAAGGAGTTGATATGGGAGACGTAGATTTCAGGTCTGGACAAACATGTTACCAGCATTGTCGTTTCGAAACTTTGTAAATTTGGACAAAGTTCCGACTTATCAGTAATCACAGTGTCCATGGAGGAACATATTAACCTTTTTGAAAAAGTCCCAAAAAACGTATTTTGCCATTTTTTCTTCTGGTTCTCTAGTTCTCAGAAATATAAAAATCTGTCGGGGTTTTTTAAACAATCCTTTTTTAAAATAGGTCATGAAAATATGCCAAAATCAAGGGTTCGACTAAAACTTGTTATTTGTTCTCATGTGCTTGTAATGCAATTTATAATGTATTTTCAAACAAAACGTTTTGACAAAAGTTTTCAAAAAATTTATTTTCTAAAAAACATTGTTTATCAAATGTTGCGGAAAATGTTTTTTTTTATTTATATGTTAACAATGTTTATACAATTTTATTTTATTAACCTTTGTTGTTTTTGTGGAAAAACAGGGTGATCAGAAAAATCTACCAAAAGTTGTAAGGTTTACACCATCAGGCAGCAAACTTGAGTTTGTGGCAAAGACTCAATTCTTTTGCTGCTCAATAAGAGTATAAAATATAGATAAAAATTTGACTAATAATTTTTTTAGAACATGAAAATTTAAATACATTTTAAATTGCAATACAAGCAAAAGAGAACAAACAAGTTTTAGTCGAACCCTTGATTTTGGCAGATTTTCATGACCTATTTTAAAATGAGGATTGTTTTTCCGCAAGTATATAAAAGATAGATAAAAATTTGACGAATAATGTTTTTCAGACATTAAAAATTTTAAAAACGTTTTGTTTGTAATTACATTATAAATTGTATTACAACTTACAAGCAAAAGTGAACTAACAAGTTATAGTCGAACCCTTGATTTTGCATATTTTTATGATCACCATGTTTTTCTGCAAGTATATTAAAGATAGATAAATTTTATAAAAAAATCTTTTTTGGAACATACAATTTTTAAAACCTTTTGACAAAACTTTTTGTAGGTAAATACATTATTAATTGTATTACAATCACAAGAGAAGTATCAAGTTTAAAAAAAAAAAAATTTTAGAACTAGAGAACCAGGCGAAAAAAATGGTAAAATACGTTTTTTGGTACTTTTTCAAAAAGGTTAATATGTTCCTCCAGGGACACTGTATAATATGCTTCTGTCGATTTTAATTTTGGAATGGTAAAATTTATTTGAAGTTGCCGAATAAGATTATTTTTGACAGTCAAGACGGGGAAAATACAAGTGGTTTGTAGTTCTATTTCTCCTTCTAATAATAACTGTAATCTTTTAATTTGATAATTTTTTGTATTAAAACATTCCATTAAGTATTTAAAAGATCAGAAAAAAAAATAAAATAATGCAGGTTGAAGAATGATGCCAGCAAGGTTCGAAAGCTGATGGAGAGTAGTAAAGCAGTTTCTTACAAGGATATAACAATGCTGAAATTGATCCTAACATGTGGTCTATACCCGCAGGTAACTAGTTTCTGATTATTATTGTCCGACTAACTATTTTTCTTTTCTTCTCCCACTTACGGATTATCTATTATTGTCTCTCTAATTATCTACTTTGTTTCACTAAGCAATTATCCTATTATTGTCTCACTAACAAATTATCTATTATTGTTTCACTAAGCAATTATCCTATTATTGTCTCACTAACTAATTATCTATTATTTTCTCACTTGCGAATTATCTATTATTGTCTCACCAACTAATTATCTATTTTGTTTCACTAACAAATTATCTATTCTCACCAACTAATTATCTATTATTGTCTCACTAACCAATTAAATATTATTGTCTCACTAACCAATTATCTATTATTGTCTCACTAACTAATTATCTATTATTGTCTCAC